CATTTTTCTTGGAATTGTGGCTGGCCTTCTCCTAAACCTACTATTTTCTCAATGATTTTCATCTCTTCTGCAGCTCTTTCCACCCTAGATTATATTTCCTTTTCTAAACACCCAAAAATTATTATGGACTTCTATCTGCAGTGTTTTGTACTAATTTACCATTGGTAACCAGTTCTTTCCTAATTGCTTGTCTAAATTCTGTTTCTTGTTGGTCATTTCTGGTTTTGACTTCCAAACACACTTCCTTGATTGTCTTTTTCTCATTTACAACTTGCACATGTCTCTTTTATTTTGTCTTTTTACATTTCTAGTTGTTTATTAACCTCCTCTATGTGAGTTGTCCATAAAATTTCTATTTGTATATTCTTGCCTAATGCCATGTAAGTCTTTAGGGTTCTTTGGAGTGGTTCACCATATGAGCATATTTTCTTGTTAATTTCTTCACATTCACCACTCTTTACTTTCCGTACCTCATTTTCTTGCACTAGTTGCTTGATGCGTTCCTCCTGTCTCTTTACCTTGTCTGTTAAGGTGGTAATTTTCCTGCTTTGCTGAAGAATGTTTCCTTTTAGTGTGAACCTCATCCCTGAAAGCTTCCTTGTCTTCTTCAAATTTAAGGACCTTTTCTTCATACTTCTTTAGTCTGTCCTCAATAATCTCTAATCTGCCAAGAAAACCTCTTTCCCTTGTATCTTGTGCTGAGAATCCTTTGAAACATTCATCTGCTGGTGTGCTTGTGTGCATCTGTGGTGGTAGTTATCTTTGTTATTGACGATCTTTTGTTTTGGAGATTGAAGTGTACTGTTTTGGAGGGTGCATCATTTGTTGTGTCCAGTGGCAGCTCTTGGTTGTTACCTGCAAGCCACTGGTTCTATTTTCGTGGATGCCTTGTTGGTTGACCCCGTTTCCTTGGTGCCCTGGTTGATACCTGGTTGATACTTGGTTGATGGGGTTCTGGGAGTTCTTCTACTCCCCAAGCTCGGCCCGAGGCCAGGCTCGACTTGTGAGAGTTTGGTCCACCAGCCTGTTGCTTGGAGCGGCCCGCAGGCCCACATACCCACCACAGCCCGGCTGATCCGGAACTTCTCTTAGAAAACAGTCCAGTTTTCTCTTGAAGATGTCCACGGTTGTTCCGGCAATATTTCTTAGAGTCGCCGGGAGGACATTAAACAACCACGGACCTCTGATGTTTATACAGTGTTCTCTGATTGTGCCTATGGCACCTCTGCTCTTCACTGGTTCTATTCTGCATTTTCTTCCATATCGTTCACTCCAGTATGTTGTTATTTTACTGGGTAGATTTGGGACCTGGCCTTCCAGTATTTTCCATGTGTATATTATTTGGTATCTCTCTCGTCTCCTTTCTAGAGAGTACATTTGGAGAGCTTTGAGACGATCCCAATAATTTAGGTGTTTTATCTCGTCTATGCGTGCCGTATATGTTCTCTGTATTCCCTCTATTTCAGCAATCTCTCCTGCTTTGAAGGGGGAAGTGAGTACTGAGCAGTACTCAAGACGGGACAGCACGAGGGACTTGAAGAGTACAACCATTGTGTTGGGATCCCTGGATTTGAAAGTTCTCGTAATCCATCCTATCATTTTCCTGGCTGACGCAATATTTGCTTGGTTATGCTCCCTAAACGTTAGATCGTCGGACATCATTATTCCCAAATCCTTTACATGCTGTTTTCCTACTATGGGCAGATTCGACTGCGTTTTGTACCCTGTATTATGTTTCAGATCCTCATTTTTGCCGTACCTGAGTACCTGAAATTTATCACTGTTAAACATCATGTTATTTTCTGCTTGTAATTTTTCAATGTCTTCAGCAGAGGTAATTTTCATGCTGATTTTTGTGTCATCTGCAAAGGATGACACGAAGCTGTGACGTGTATTTTTGTCTATATCTGATATGAGAATAAGGAACAGTAGCGGTGCAAGGACTGTACCATAAGGTACGGAGCTTTTAACTGCGCTTGGACTCAATTTTATTTGTTTGACTGTTACTCTTTGTGTTCCGTTCGACAGGGAATTGAGTATCCAGCGTCCTACTTTACCAGTTATTCCCATTGACCTCATTTTGTGTGCTATCACCCCATGGTCACATTTGTCAAACGCCTTTGCAAAGTCTGTGTATACAACATCTGCATTTTGCTTTTCTTGTAGAGCTTCTGTGATTTTGTCATAGTGGTTGAGTAACTGTGACAGACAGGATCTGCCCGCTCTAGATCCATGTTGTCCTGGATTGTGTAGCTCATTATTTTCCATAAAACTAGAAATTTGATTCCTAATCACTCTTTCAAACACTTTTATTATGTGTGATGTTAGTGCAACTGGTCTATAATTTTTTGTCAAGGGTTTACTACCCCCCCTTGTGCAGAGGAGCTATATCTGCAGATTTAAGTGCAGCTGGTATCTTCCCTGTATCCAGGCTCTTTCTTCATATTACGCTGAGGGCTCGCGCTATTGGTACTTTACATTTCTTTATGAATATTGAATTCCATGAGTCAGGCCCAGGAGCTGAGTGCATGGGCATATTGTCAATTTCTCTTTCAAAGTCTTCCGAGTTTGTGTTAATATCCGTTATATTATCTGCAGCTTGAATGTCATTCATAAAGAAGCTGTCTGGGTCATCAACTTTCATGTTGTTTATTGGTGTGCAAAACATAGCCTCATACTGGCTTCTTAGAATTTCTCTAATCTCTTTGTTGTCCTCTGTGTACGTACCTTCATTTGTAATTAACGGTCCAATACTGGTCGAGGTTTTTTATTTTGATTTTGCGTATGTGAAAAAATATTTTGGATTTTTCTTTATCTCTTGTATAGCTTTCTGTTCCAATTACATTTCCTCAGACTCATATGATCGCTTCAACGTTTGTTCTATTTCTTCGATCTCCCTGCTTAGGTTTATTTTCCTTTCGTGTGATAGTCGTATCTGCCTAAGCATTTCCGTTATTTTTTTCCTTCTCCTGTACAGTCGTCTGCGTTCTCTTTCTAGAATGGTCCTCTTTCTGACTTTCCTCACAGGCACGTACTTCAAGCAGACCTTGTAAGCTTCAGCTGTCAGTTGAGGTATTCCCTGTGTAGGAGTTTTGTCGCTTAAGACCGTCTCCCATTGAATGGTTGCAAGGTCTACATTTATTTTTTCCCAGTCGATCCTCTTATTGTAGAAATTGAATTAATTGAATACTCCTTCTCGCTTGTTTGGTCTCTTAGACCTACTTCTGTTATTTATGCTAGTTCGCACTTCAACGAGCTTATGGTCTGAGTATGTAGTATCTGAGATTGTAATGTCTCTGATTAGTTCTTCATTGTTTGTGAATAACAAGTCTAGTGTGTTTTCGTTCCTTGTTGGTTCTGTAATCTGTTGATTGAGCGAGAATTTGTCTCAGAATCTCAAAAGTTCTCTGACCTGTGGTTGGTTATTTCCTGGGTCATTCCCTGCTATGATATTTGTGTTTACCATTCCCCATCTTAGACTTGGTAAATTGAAATCTCCAAGGAAGATAATATCTGGAGCTGGGTTTGCTAGGTTATCAAGGATGTTCTCTATTTTGTGCATCTGCTCTGTGAATTCCTCAACCGTCGTATCTGGCGGTTTATATATTAGAATAATAATTAGGTTAAGTTTTTCTACCTTAATTCCAAGTACCTCTACCACCTCATTGGTTGAGTGTAGTAGCTCTGTGCATACCAGGTCTTCTTTAATATACAGACCTACTCCTCCATTTGATCTAATTTTTCTATCACATCTATATAAATTATAATTTGGAATCCAGATTTCACCATCCATGTAATATTTTGTATGAGTTTCCATGAATGCCCCAAATATTGAGTTTGACTCTATTAGGAGGCCATTTATGAACTTAACTTTATTTCTTGACTTTGGCTTTAAACCTTGAATGTTTCCAAATATGAATGATTGTCCATATTGTGTGTCACTTCTGGAAGGTTTTGGTAGTTCCTGTTCCAGAGCTCACATTTCTCAGGTCATCCTCATTGTCATGAAAGCTAACCAGCCTGAGGTTTACCTTCTAGTCCCTGATGTTTGCAAATATGTGGCATTGGCCAGCCTTGGATATGTTGTTGTTCTCCAACACATCCAAGGCTGGTATTTGGGTTCGGGGGGGATTTGGCATTCTAATGGGGTTTTGGCGACCCATTATTTAGTCAATGTTCTTGGTCCCAGTCGGTTGTGTAGTGATTTGGGCAGTGTCTCCCAGCCTGGTTTCTCTTCTTCATCCTGGTGTCTGCTGCTTCTCCTACTTCCTGGTAAGTCCCATTTTTTTTGTCTGTGGTTAGTTTCAGGGAGCCACCAAGGGGCTTCCTGGTGGCTCCCTCCTCCTCCAGGGGGATCCCTCAGAAACTTGGCACTAAATGTAATGAAATGCCTCTTTCTGTAGAAGCCTTGGTGGCTCCCTGGATTACCCCTTCCTTCAGGTTCGTCTGTTACTTGTTGGTTTCTTCATCAGCTCCAGAACTGACCAGGGAGCCAGCTAAGGGTTAGAGCTAGGCTGCCTAATGCATTTTGAGCTAGTTTAAGTGACTGTCTTGTTCTATGGGACTCTTTTTAGGTGTTTTCGAGGTTTCATTTTCTGTGAATCCTCCAGTTGTATGTAAAGCTTCGCTAACTTTCTGGAAGTTTTTCCGATGTGGGTGGCAAATTGTCACTTGCTCCCTGTGCCTCCAGGAAGTGGGCCATGTTATGGTTCTGGTCCCCAGTAGGCCAAACAGAACTTCCGCAACTTATGTGATCTTTTAGTATGAAGCAATCTCGGCAAGATAAATTCAGGGAGCCACTGGGGCTCCTCCAGAAAGAGGCATTTCATTACATTCAACGCTGGGATTTTGCATTGAATCTTAGGTGAGAAATTAACAGTTACTGAAGCTTCTGTGTTAGTTTCTACACACCATCGTGCTTTGAGGGCAGGAAAAAGCATGTTAAATATGATGATGAAAGTTATTATTATATAAAAGTTTATATTTTATTTAAATTACAGTCAACCCCCGTTTATCCGGACAACGCCGTTCCCGAGGAAATCGTCCGGATAACGAGTTGACCGGATTTCTGAAAATGACTGGTAGGGATGAATTGGCAGCTGTTTTCGGTTACAGATATTCAGTTTAAGTTATATTCTTGTTTATAAGAATGCAAATGCATTTGTTACTTGATAATAGAGTTGCAGAAGTGCAGTTGCAGTTTTGAATTGTTTATTGACATATTGTATATTTTAATTATTTCTTTATTATAGTTATGGAACATAAGAATTGTTAATTCCTAGGCACAACTTTGTAGTAGAACTGTAATTTTTATTGTAAAAAGATTAGTGTGGTATTGTATATTAAAACAGGCAAAAACATAATTAGAAAACATAAAGGGATTTGTTTTAATTGGCTTTAGTTTGACATTTAAATGATTTTATACTGTATTTTTATTTTACTTTAGCATAAATTACAAATTTAAGTTTTTCAAATGAATAACTATGATTCAGGCATAATTTCTTGTACTCTATTCCTTTGCAAATAGATATTGTTTATCTGTACATCACAATACTGTATGTAATTGCTATTGGGCTAAGCACCCCAAGATTTGCCCCTCTGAATTTCCTACAATATTGTACTTGGCAGCAAAGGCATCTGATGATCACTCGTGAAGACGTGCGGTACAGTTTTATACTGCATCATTACCACTTATTGTGTAAAGAATTCCTTACTGGTGTAGTTACTGTATTTTGTTTTTATGTAACAGGAAATGAACAAGCAAATTTACAAAATGACAATGAATATATAAAACTACATGATTGTGATGAATGATTAACCAAATCTGATGATGAATGAACAAGCAAAACTATTTTGATAAATGTACAAACAAAACTATCATGCGGAATGAACAAACAAAACTGTTGTGATAAAGGAACACTCAAAATTATTACTGTAAATAAATAAAATGATTATGAGAAAATGGACAAGCAAAACTATTATTGGGAAATGAACAAATTAAATTATTATGATGAGTAAACAAACAATACTATAGTATTATATGGAAATGAACAAATGAAACTCATACGGTGAATGAACAAACAAAACTATTATGAGGCCTGAACAAACATATCAATTATGGGGAAAAGAATATGTGAAACCATTTTTTTTTAATGTCTTAATGTTAGCCTCACATCAAAATTTAAAGTATTATCAGGATATTATTTATAGTGGCACTGCTTCCATGGATAAATTGAAGTAAATCCCTAATAGAGTCCAAGATAGCTTGATTTTAGAATAATCAGTGGGGGGGGGACAGAGAGCTTAATAAAATAGAAAAGAATAAAACAAGCAGAGCACTTTTTTGCAGTAAATATCCTGAAGTAATCACAGTAGATGACAACAGCTTTGAAAGTTAAAAATTTTGCCTGTGCTTGGGCATGGCCTCTTGTATACTCACTGAATAATCTTGACGAGTGCATTCAAATTTTAATTTCCCATATGTTTGGAGTAAAAGAGACAATGGTGTATAGCATTTTAATCCTAGTTGGAAGTCTGGATAATGTATGGTCTAGGGAAGTGGGTAAAGTCTGGATAAATGGGGGGTTGACTGTTTTATATGTATATATAGAAAATAATTCACAATTCATTGTTTGAATATGATGATACAAGATGGTTATTTGGGTTTATTAAATAAAAAAATGAATGGATGTCTTAGGAAACAAATTTCAGAGACGTTGAAATGAATCATCTGTGTCAAGTTGAATATTGTGAAGGCCAATGCAAGCATTCTTAGTTCTCTTCAAATATGGTCTGTAACTGTTTATTGAAGTTTATCATGTATAATTAAATAAAAGTAAAATATGTTTTTATTTTGTCTAATTAATTTTACTTGCATAATCAATTTTACAAATATAATATGTACTGTGTATTGTTAATGATTGATTTTTGTTGTCAGCTAAGGAATCTACAGGAGTAATAGATGCCTGTTTTGCCTTAATTATAGTATTATCCGGGAAATAAAGTTGAAATCTACATTATGGCAGTAATGCATATCACACACCAGTATAAGCTAAGTGCAGTAAAGTGTTTACACATTGTGAACATGGTTTAAAATATAATTTAGGCACAGTTCACATACAGAGCATTAATCAAATGTCAATGAAGATAAAGTACACATACAAAATGTGTATACAATTTTAATCTAAGTACAGTACACACAAAGAGACATACACTGTATCAGTGATAATCTAGGCTCAGTATGTATTACCTGACAATAAATTTTCAAAAAGTAACACAAGATGGAGATGACTCTAGAATGAGTTTTGTATGTTGACTAGACGGGAGTACCCAGTGGTGTCTAGGTCCAGCTCTTGCCCTTCCCCTCTTTTCCTTCCCCTCTCCTCCTCCACCTTTCCCATTCAACCTCTCCCACTCACCCTCTCTTTCCCTCTCCATGTCTCTTCTCTCCCCCATGCCAAGTCATGTGGG